TTGAGAGATACCACTTGCACTGCGCATTACAGCCCTCTCATTAAAAAGAGGCAAGCCTCCCCGTACTGTATTTCAGAATTTGAAATACCTGACCTTATTCAGAGTATATTTTTTACTAGTGCAAACTCCTTCCTGAAAGCAAATGCCACCTAGGATGTCCCATGGATATACCTTTTTGGGCACGGTGTGTGAAACTCGTTGCTAGTCATGGGACCCATCTGTCCGATTTTGTGAAAGCACTGCCACCTTGAATTTCATTTCTGCGACTGGTGGGTGGGGTGGGAGAAACTGCTCTCAGCTTCTCTTATTATTCTCTTGCTGGTTCCTAATTTTTTTTTTTTTACGGGGAAAAAAAGAAAAAACTCTCAGGCTCGGTCCCTCAGCACAAGCAGACATTTGATAGCTCACCGACATCAAGGGGAGCTTTCCTGAGATACTTCACAGGGACTGGACATCTCTGAGCTGCAAAATGCCACCACCAGCTGCTGCTCTGGTCTTTGGCAAGTGCCTTCAGTGGTTTAAGGTTAAAAGCCACGTTTCAGAGACTGGAGCCTGAGGCTATTGTGTTCCCCTGGCAGAGCGCTCGCTAGGCTGGGTGGCATTAACCACGCGATGCCGGGAGATGTGGCAAACCTGAACGTGGGCTTACGGTGATGGAGCAAAATGCCAGGGAATAGGGGTGAGTGTGCCCAGGCTTAAGGAACATTGCGAAATCTTTTCAAGGTGACACAAGTCACACATGGAAGGTTGTTGCATCTTGTAAACACTCCAGGGTGGGTGGGTGGAATCAATGCAGCAAACAAATGGCCCCCACCCTTCAATTGCCCCGAAAGGACAGCCATTGATTTATTTAAATCTATTTAAGACTTTGTTCCAGTTGTCCACCCTACAGAGAAGATACTCCAAAGTTATGATGATGGGGTAGCAACAACAAAAAAAAATCCTAAACCACACGTCAGCAGGAATTACAGTGCAGGGAAAGGACAGCAAGCTTGCAGAAGCAAGAGAACGAAGAGGCGAGGAGTGATGCAGAAGGAAATGCGGCTGAACAGTGGGAAGACCGCCAAAGTGCTTTTCTATCCATATTCCTGAAGAAATCGTACAGAGCCCGCCCAGCGGAAAGCTGTCGCAGGTCCCGGGTGCGAGTTCCCTGGGATCTGTGCCGGTCCCGCTCCGGCCAGCCCCGCGGCACGGGGAGCCAGCAGCGGAGCTCCTGCCCCGGCACCACCTGGGCAGGCGACGGCACCAGAGACTCCCACGGGTGCTTCTGCTCTCCAAAGACTTCCAGGGAGTATGGAAAAAAGGGGCAGGTTTTTCTGCAGAAAGCCAGCGGGATCTACAGCCGGTTACGCTCTGTAGAGAGCTACTACCTGCCTCTCTGGTATGCTGAACCCTTAGTAAGTCCTGCGCCTGTCCCACAAACCAAAGATGACTTTGAACATGAAGGAACCACTATCAAAGATACTTCCAAATAACAAAGCAAAAAATGAAGCAAGCCTCCCTGGGACAAAACCCAGAAGCAGTCTCTCCCAAGAAGATCCTCGAAGTGTTCTTTGGCATTAAGTGGCGAAAGCTGCTGAAACAGAGAGCGCGCAGATGGCGGTGGGGGCAGAGGGGAAGGGGGTGACAGTGCCGCGACGCACGGCTGTCTCCTCCTGCTACCTCCCACTAGCAGAAGGCAAACCTGCAAAGGCCCAACTTGTCCTTCACGACCGAATCACAGAAACGCGACGCGCTCTGCCGTCGCTATTGACCTGCTCCCCGTGTTCACGCTGCCTCTGAGCAGCCCAGCAAGAGGGACGTTTGGTGCCACAGGTCCGAATGCTGTTTGCCATTTTCATAGCCTCAGGAGCAAACACACGGACGGACTCAAATATCCCACAGGAGAACCCTCTTCGATTACTAAGCAAGAGACCATTACAGGACGGTGTCGATATGGAACATCTAAATGATTTACACAGAAGTCATTTTAATAGACATTAGAAATAAAACAATCCATTAAAGATTAGCAGTGCAATGTTAATGTGATAGAACGAGACAAAAAGAAGCAACTGAACACACAACAAAGTTAGGTCCTAATGGATAAACATAGGAAAGGACAACCCATATTTTCAGTTTACCACAACATATCTAGGCATTACAGCAGAGCTGATATACAGAACTATTTGCAGTGTCAGTAAAGACTTGCAGTATCTATTTAAGGCATAAAGTAGTGATTAACAGACAGCAGATGCTTAGTTGTTGCAAATCGGTGTAGCTTTAGTAGAAAGTCAACAGAACTATGTTAAATTACAGCAGCTGGGGGCAGCATCTGAAAAACCCATGGAGCTCCTAATTTGTGGTGTGGTTATTTGAAAACAATTCTGCAAAAGAAGTCGGAAGAAACAGGACTGCATTTTACTATTTGATTTAAACTCAGGAGGTTTTAAAAGTGGGAATGTAAAAACAAAAAGCTGAGAAACCAAACTTTTGGCAATGACGTTTGACTTGTACAGCAACAACTGCAAAGGAGCTGCATTCCTTGTCCCGCACAAAAAGCAATAGGAATGATTAAGCTTTAAAACACATATATGTACACACAAGAACACATATAATCATCCAAGAGCTCAGAACTATGTCAGGATCACAAATGTGTAAGGCAAATAAATACATTTAAAAGGTTCATCTGATACCAGGTCAGGGAATGTTCAAGGTGAGGTTAAAACATTTCTAAAAGGGAGAGGATTCCCCTTCTCCAGCCAGTTGCAATGTTTCGCTTTCCCAGAGCAATGGAGGTGAGGGGAGCAATGATGTAGCACGCACAAGGGCACCCATCCTCTTAGCGGACTTAGCAGTTATAAGCAAATCTCTCAGCTCAAAAACTGGATTTTGCACTTAAGAACACCACTTGCATGAAATCCCTCCTGCCTTTTACTGGTAAGGGCACTGGAAAAAGCCAGCATTGCAAACAGAACATTGCAGCCATAGCAACAAGCAATTCAACACTTAAACTTTTCAACAGACTAAACAGTATTTTCTTTCTGGTTTTATAATTTCATGGTCAATAATTCACCATGAGCACTTTACTTGTCTAGCTGGTTGTTAATGTCTCAGAAACAATCTCCTGTTAAAGCTTCAACCAAGAAAACCTTCTCACTCAAAGAAAAAGAAGAGTACGTGTATACAGGGAGACCACTTCAAAAATTAAACTTTTTTCTCCCTTTTTGGAAATTGGTATAGAAAGATGGAGAAAAGCCCAAGTTCTGGCCCATTAAATCAAGCACTAGCCCTTTATTAGTATTGTACGCTATAAAATGTTACATCCAAGAACCCAAAAGCATTAAAATTGAGATTTAAAACACCTAACTTAGGCCCTGCAACAGTATCCCTGAGTAATGCCCAAACAGCACAGGAACTCCAGTGGGAGGTCTCCTTGACCCTTTTCACTGACTGTGAGGAATTCTTTTAAAAATATTTTCATATTGCTAACAGTAAAAACCCATTTGAAAACCAAAATTGAAGGCTAAAAATAGGATAAAACATTCTGCATGGTTGATGAAATTTAACCCTGTTAATTAGACAGCTTCATTTCACAGTCAGTAAGAGTCTAATATTACCCTAATAAATGTATGGGTTTTTGGAAAGTGTCATGCATGACCGCAACTGAAATCATGCCTTTTTAAACTTTTAATGGCATCAAATTTAATATCTGCAAAAGAAATCACTGTTTTCCCCAAGTCAAGAGTTTGAGAAGTTCAGAACTGATTGACTAAAGCATAAGGGCACTGGAAGACTGTTGGTCTCTCCCAAGTAGACTAAATAATGTCCACATGAATTTTAATGCTCAACAAAAGTACTAAACCTAATGAATTAACTTAGGTAGGTAGTTAATTATCCAAAGCTTTCGTTACCCTTTCCTATCTCTTTACCATTTTTATACTCCTTTACGGCAGTGAAAAAATTAAATTTGAAGGAACCAGATAGCACAGACCCTTTGAGATCTTCAGGGGTCACCCTGCCTTCCTCGCCACTTCAGGTAACTTAATCGCAGCATAACCCCACGGTTCGTGGATGCAGGCTTTGTTGACTGACCCTACAACTTGGGTGTGGGCTCAACTTTGCTAGCAACACATGCTGAGAAGCTCCATAAATGACAGTGAAGGACAGAGCATGAAACAGACACAGAAATGTGTTTACACGTTCAGGAGGAGCGGGGACCTTCTCCAATCCCTGTTTATTTAGATTATTTTTGACAAGTAGCACTAATATCTATGGAATTAATGTGCCACGTAAAAGACAGTTACTCAGCGTTATGATTGTTTTTAAGCCCTGCTGGTCACATAGTTGTTCTCTATTAAGTTTTTTGTTTGTTTGACATGTTTTTTGATCTTCTCTCTCTACAAATCACAAGGTGAGGAACTGGGGAAAATACACTCTCTTTTTCAACTTCTTATGGCTTCTGGGCTGTCTTGAGAGCTGCCCGCCTGGATACTACCCAATACAGCCTGACCCTGCACTCCAGGATTTGCCGAGCGTTTTTCACAACCCAGATGGGGTTGGCTGGAAATCCTACTAAGTATGTCCGGAGACATATGTGTGTCAGCAGGGGAGGACGGGGTACTTCAGGACATGGTTTAGTGGGCATGGTTGATGGCTGGACTCAATGATCTTGAAGGTCTTTTCCAACCTAAATGATTCTATGATTCTATGATACTGTGCAAGTGGAAGTGTGGAGAAAGCATGGAAGCAAAATCCATTTATAACTAAGAATTACTAGTAGAGGTGACTGGTGACCAGCCTATGGGGAAGTGTCTGGTGATCGTGAGAGGTCATGCAGCGCCCTGTCGGATTATGAAGGCTTATACGTAAGGCACATCAAAGAGGTGTGTCACAAGGGGGACCTGGTGAAACATGGGGGACATTGAAAGACTGTCAGGTTTTCTTGATAGGAGAAAGGAAAAACAACCTCTGCGTTACACGAACGGGACTCTTGAAAAGCCACAGAAACATCCCATACTTACTTTTATCTTCCTGGTTCTCTTCTGCTGCTTTGCCTTCCTCGTCCTCGTCCTCCTCCTCCTCCTCCACCTCCTTCCGCTGCGCTTCTTCGTGGTGATCGGCGGCACCGACCGACAGGCTCTGGCAGCAGTGGTTGAAGCCGCTATCCCGAGGCAGAGTGAAACTTCGGGGCTTTCCCCCGTTCCCATTCAGCACTTGCATCCGCTCGCCCTCCACGAGGGGGAAGGGGCCGTAGTGGTCTTGCAGGTGGCACTTCTGGGTGGGCAAGGTCGACTGCCGCCGGTGCTCGGGGGACACCACGGCCGCCTCGGAGAACACCGAGTCTTCCAGCGGCAGCGTCTGCAGGTAGTGGAGTCCCGAGCTCGTCAGCGGCGTCTCGATGAGGTCCTGCCAGGAGCGCCGCTGGCTCGCCGTCTTGCGCACCGGCGAGTCGGTGGCGCTCCCCGCCGCCTCCGGGCGAAACTCCTCGTGTGACGACTGCGACTGGGAGGTCTCCGTGGACGAGAGCCGGCTGTGTTTCGGCTCAACGTAAGGGCTCGTGCAGCTCATCTGCAACGGCAGCGAGGGACCGAGCTTCAGATCGCTGTAGGCCGACTAGTCTTACTAGAAGTAGTAGCAGACTACTTCTAGCAGTAGACTAGTAGTCTAGTCTTACTAGAAGTAGTAGCAGAATACTTCTAGTAATAACCACGTCCTTTTCATCGTCACTGATGGCACCCAGTTCAGTAACGAAGGCACAGACTCACCCGATTAACCGGCCCTCATCCTAACTTTAAGGCATGCCCCTATATACCTGACACACCTGTAGGTCAAACACTGATACTTACACCTAGTGAGTATCTTTATGTTCCTTAGCCCTTAAAATAAGCCAACACGATTATCTGCAGAAAACTTTGCAGAATATGGCACCTCGGAAAACATAGAAGAGATGTGCCTGGTCCATTAAAAATCTTAAAAATACCACCCAACTGCGTGTTGTCATCCTATCCTGTTAAAAATTTATTTGCAATCGCATTTGCAGTGCTTCAGTGCAGTTCAGAGATCTATGATTTTGGAACATAAAGTATCGCATTCAAATTAAACATCGTGAACACTCTCTTTCCCCAGACTTTCCCAGTTTTTCATTCCAATTTTTTGCCATTTTAAAAGCTATATTCAAGTAAGATGCATTAGTTAACACTGTCTGAGTATACGGACACGAAAACTAAAATTGCCCGTGCAGAATAAGTTGGAAGTCCACACTCTGGTTTTATACCAACAGCTGCTTCAAGAAGAAAATAAAAACCAAATCCCCTTTTGTTCTAATTTACAGAGAAACCTACTTTTTCACAACCACCAAACAACTGGTTATCACTGTTTGCGATATAAGACAGAACATTTTACGTTGGCACTTCTCTGGAAATTCAAGTGTAAAGCTTCACAGCACAACTGTTGGAGCCTTAGAGAAGAGTCTGTGCTGTTACTGAGGTAACAACATTTTGTCAGAGAAGTCGATAAGGGGGCGGTGAGGGATTGCATGGATGAGTAGCGGTCCATCATGAATGAAGAACAGGAAGAAAGAATTCTGTAACTTAATCTATTTTGCACAGTGCGTGGGATGATAAATCCATGTTCTCTACAAACCAGTGAAAACAGCCATGATGGCTGTTGAAGTTAGCGCTGCACGTTACTTAACAAATGCCTTAAGTCAAGTACTGACTCAAAAATATAGCGGGGAGTGCCATAATGTGCGCATGCACGTGCTTTTAAGCAGGAGAGTAGGTAAAAGTGACGCTTTACGTTGTCATTTCTGTAGACATTTGCAGGTGACTTACCGAAGGAGGCCGTGGGTACGTGTCGTACGGGGGTGGTGGGCTGTCTTGTTTGGGTGTTGATGGAGTGTCAGCTTCCTCCTTATCACTCTCACTCCAGTAATCTACAAGTTACATACAGATCAGATCAAAAACTACCAACACATTTTGATACACTTGTATATCAGAGACTTGCTTTCAAAAAAGCAAAAGGGAAGTCCATCCTTGGTATTACCAAGAGTTAAAATCTAGCAAATGCTGACTCCAGAAACGTTAGCTGCTGTAACTTGGAATTGTTTTAATCTAAAGAGGGAAAATTCAGAACGTTATGGGGTATACTAAGCCTAATGCCCCATTGCAGAGATATTAAACAACAACCTGCAAATGAGCTACAAATTTAACTCTTGTACACGCTTTATAAATACTACATGCATACAGAATACTCCTAATACAAGTATCAGGTTTTCAAGTACTTATACAGCCATAAAAATAATTATGATTAGACGTATATCAGCTAGAAAATACCGGAAGTATTTTTCAAACAGAAAAGATGAAAAACGTAACTCGTTAAAGTCTTGTTGACTGCAAATAACATTAACAAATGTAATTAACACCAACTGGCAAATCAAACAAGTAGGGGTTATTGCACACGTGACTGACTAATGCTATTTCTCTACCCATTCTCTCCATTGTAAACTACCAGTTACCCGAGCTTTTCAATTGAATCTCTAATAACAAAGAGCTGCATTTAAGATAAGACAGAAGAACTTTATATCATGTATCTGCTTCATAAAACAGCTGCTGCCCTGTTACACATGCAAGAACATAGAGGTGATACGGTAAGAAAAAATATGACAATGACATTTAAGCACAGAGTTCCAAAAGACGGATGAGAAAGTACAAAGGACGCAGATCTTGTGGGCTAAATTTAATGGGTTACAAGGTTTCATTTTGTCACGAAACCAAGTCTTGGCCAAGCCCATTTCATATGTTTGGTACCTTGGTCAAAGGGGAAAACACATGGCAGAATGTACCACGTGGGACTTTATAGTTATTTGGTTGCAAATATTTTTGAAGCAGAACAGCATCTAACTAAATGGATGCTGGACCTTAATATTCCTTACAAAAGAAAACCACTTAACTGCCGCCTCAACTCAACATGGATAACTGTAATATCTCCACCCATTGTAAGGCTTATGCAAACATCCCTGTTGGCACTTGGTTTCTGACTGTATTACCTTCTAGTATTTGGGTAAATCATTGTACAACAGGACACTTTAGCTCAGACTATTCACAGACAATTTTCACTTTGCCTAGTAAGCGCTCAGTGAACTGCACGACTTACTACTTTGATAGATGAGGAGAAAAAGATTGATTGCTGCTTCATAAATGATCTAAACCAAAATTCCAAGCTGGCACAACACGTAATTTTGGCTTTAATGACTTTTTGTTACTATGATGATTATTGTATTGTATGATTAATGATCTACTGTACCTAATCTTCTTCAAGATTTAAAACAAAAACTTACCTTTAAATGACACCATCTTGAAACAGCTGTCCCTAAAATTTTCTGTATTTTTAGATTGTAGTAATGGTGGGGACAGCCTTATTTGTCTATTTAATTTTTCGAAGCAGAAACAACTCTGTTTTAACTCTGAGTCTCTTAATTTGCTTACTGCAAGCTTATAGCTGAGAGATTATCTTTAAACAGTATAATAAACAAAGAGCATAAATAAAGTTTTCATGACTATGAAATAAAAAAATTCCAAAGAGTTTCGTCTCTAGAAATCTGCAGATAATTAGTTTTTGGTGAACAAAAGACTAAATTGGTGAAAATTCTTTTTTAAAATCACGCCTAGTTTTAAGAAAACTTGTTTCCAGCAACTCAGACCACCTGAAAATATTGGCATATAGGCATGTTTGTTCCTATTACAGCAAAGCCGAATGGCGCGACGTGTGGCGAGACGCCTGTCAGAACTGCATCACTCGGTGACATTTCTGCAGACCTGGAGCTCAACTGTTTATTCTGAAAGTAAAATTTAGCAGCCTCAGTGCAGATTCCAATTTTGGCTAAAAATACGAAGCCGTTCTTGCTGTCAAATCCACATACAATAAACCACTGTATGATGACGCTTTTGCGCACCTTACCTCAGACAGGGAATTCTGTTGGCAACCTACAGCTTGCCTAAAAAATTCTGCAAGTCACAGGGGTCAGCTTCCAGATGAAATGTATGAAAAGAGCCTCCCACCAAGTTTTAAAAATGGTCTGCTTTTGGCAACCAACTTCTTAGAGTTTACCTAAAACGTGTATAATGCTATCAAAAAGTTGCCGTATTTCTCTCTGCAGATTTTGTCCGATTCAGTGACAGACAAGCTCAATGTACCAGGCATATCTTGAAAGCTTTTTGAATAAGCAATAGACTGCATATATTATTTATAAACTAACACTGACCTGCCATTTGCCAATTAAATATTTTCTATTTATATAAGCCAGTATTTTTTCTCCGATTTTATATGACTGGAAAGGATATAACTTCTCCATCCAAGGAAGTCCCTTGCCATATTGCTAACAGTCATTGCATTTAATGTGGAAAGTTGATGGTATTTTTATAAAACTGTTCTGTACAGAATGTGACATTTTATTCAGCAGTACACCCACAATTCAGCGATTCGTGCATCTCTGAAGCACTTGAAATATATTTATGCACTTTAGATTCAGAACCATTCAACTCCTAATTGAAACAGGTTTGACAACTACTGTTGAATTGTTTCAGAGTTATTATGGAGCTTTGCTGCAAAGGGCTGAACTGAACAGCAACGTCAGTTAGTACCGTCACTGAATATAGAAAATCCAGCTTCACGGTTTTTGTAATTGCAAAAATGCTTGAAGTGATAGAGAGGTTTTACTTTGCTAACTTGATGCGTCTGCTAATTAGGGACACTACTGAGCTGTCTAATAGCCCTTGTGCTGGGAGCCAAGGATAATCACCAGAGGCATAAAAACACTGTACGGCAGCGAGGGGGAACGTGATACTGATTCCCACGCTGACCACAACTAAGCAACACAAAGAGGATATAGTTTTACCTATCTGTATATGATACATCAATTTGAGTGAATGGCATTAGAGCAGTAATAAAGAGCTCCGTCAGTGCCTGGGATATAATTTCCATAGTAAGTGGGGTCTCGCTGATTATTTTCAATAGGCAGACATTTTAATAATAGGTAACGTGAGGCCTGAATGCACATGATCTCATGTCTAGGAGCTGGATCATCTGCTATTTTATTAGTCAGTGATTGCTTGGTAGCAAAAATATTTCTCCACATCCATCTGGATTTTGAAAGGTGTATGATGTCTGCAATTGTGCACTTGGACAGCGTTAGCATAACTGTTCATACACCTTTTCCCTCACTGTCCCACACGTTATTGCGATCCTAGTGCCAACCTGCTGCCAATAAAAGTTTGAATTTGGCTTTGAATGCTAACACAGAGGATTTCCTAGAAGACTCCAAGATTCAGAGTTTGTTCACAGCCTCTTCAAGCAGCAACAGATGGCATACAGGTCCCTCCAAACTGGTTATCGTAGTGCTGCCCGGGGAGCACGGATTCCCACACTGATTTTGCAGTCTGGCGAGGCACTGAGAACACGACTGGAGGAACGCTGAGCACGGTGCCGCTATCCCGGGCTGTGCGAACGCGGAGGGCCTGGTGTTAGGAATGACGGGACGTGCCAAGGACCATACCAGACTAAACCAGGGTGTGGGCAGCACTTCCAGGATAAGCGGCTGCACTTACTGGAAGACATGGTTAGAAAGGAGGCAACAGCAGGTACAACCTAGTTACGTGCGAGAACGACAGAACCCAAAAACCTTCCCACGCGCGCTGCTACCGCCGAATTACAGCAGTATGCTGTACAACACTGCTCTTCGACCCCAGGCTGATCCCTCTAGGATGCTCTGTGGTGAGGCCATCTGGGTATGAATCACGGCAGACATAACTTTCGGATGCTGTCTTTTAATCTTCTACCACTACAGAATATCCTACTCTCTTGATGTTTCCACCTGGCTGCCAAAGTAACCCTTGCTTCTCTCCGGGGAAAGGAGGTTTTTTTGCACAGTGCCTCCCAGGAAAATGGCAGGGCAGCAACACGTTGCAGAGACAGACCACGCGCATCTTCCTCCTGACGGTATCAGACCAGAAGGTCAGGGCGAAGGCTGCCGTCACGTAGGTTGGGACAGAATCATGACTTCGGGGGGCAAGAAGGACACCATGTGGCAAATTGGGAAGCCTAGTGATAGGCTTTTGAACACAGCTCTCCCTGAAAAATGGTTAGAACTGTAGTCTTTGTAAAGAAAAGACTAGATTAAATACATTGCTGCTGCAGCTCCGAGCTATAAACTTTTTGGGCCGAAAGACAGAACCTTACTGATGAAGGCTGCAGAGCCACAGAATTAAAAAGTGAGGTTTTGGCTCAGTGGGTAGCAGGCAGACAGGCATCTGGATAAGCTCTGGATCATCATGACCACTGCAATTTTCTGGTGCCTGCTGCCAGGTACATCTGTAAAAAAGAGCACGGATTCAAAAGCCAGCTGCTTGCCAGAACAGCTAGTTGGACAGGAACGCTTCTATGGATCCAGGTCACTGGCAATTCTAGGAAACAACCTCCCCATCACAACTGAGGACTGACCCTTCCTTCCTCCTGTCCTCAAACAGGATTTCTACTGCAGCAAACTAAAGCAAACTGACTTACTATTTTATATATGCTGCTTTTTTAAACCCATGAAATATTAGACATTAAAAATAAACAGGTGTAAAATGCTGTAAACCCGCAACAGGGCTTTAGCACACACCTCAATATAGCAAAAATAGTAGAAATCACAGAAAATTAAAATGGCCTTAAAGTCTTTAGGGGAAATCCAATTATACCAACAGGCTTTAGAAGAATGGTTTTGTTCCTGAGACCAATTTCATGCATTCCTGCCCCCTGTGAATTCGAACACCAAATGCAATGCTGAAAAAATTTTTTAGTCTGCAGATTCTTAAGTTTCTTCTAATAGGGGACACAGACTCCTTGGTACCACACACCGGAGCTTACTGGCAGTACATTTGCTGCTTTTAGCTACCTTCTGCGGCCTTCTCAGAAATAATCCAGGGTCTGTGGACCAGAATCTGCAGGAGTTAATCAAAACCCCTGAGAGAGAAGGAATTCTCTAAAGCAACAACAGTGATACCGATACGTGAATTGCTTTCGGATGACGAGAATGAGGCCTGATACACAACAGGGAAAAAAGAACAGATGAACTTGTGATAAGAGCTGACAGAAGAAACCAAAATAACAACACATTACCTTGCTCTTGTTTGATCCTCTCTCTTTCTGCATAGCCAGCAGCAAGCATGTTAATTCTGTTTAGCCATCTGAAATAATATTAAAAAAGCAGTGATACTGATGCAGCCTTGTAATTTTTGGGTTCATTTCTACAAAAAACAAAGTTAGGACCACCTGAAGGAGATTCAGGACAATGTTATTTTTCATATTAGACAGCTGTTTTCTTTGATACTCTTACTCAGGGAGTCTCCAAAGATCTATGAATTTGCTGTTGAACAAATTGTTTTCACAGCAAAGATTTTATTTGAAATGGAGAACCGTGTACGATGTCAACCATCTGTAAAATAAAGGATTTAGAGATAATCAAAGAACTATTAAGTCTGCTGCTCACAGATATGGCATCACACCAATACTCCTGCTGTTCTGATGTCTTAAGAGTAAACACCACTTTTCAGAGATTTAAGCAATATTTTAAGGCCTGAATTGGCAACTTAGCAGAGGAACAGAGCAGAAACCAGCAATAAAAAGAACAGGTTCACTCCCAAACAGACAGTGAGGTTTAATTATGCCATTATGTGTTTTAGAGCTTACCTACAGTGCCAAGTACAAAGAGACGGAGGCATATCAGAATTGACTTTTGTGTTCGTGTCAGAGAAGCAGGGAGAGAAGAGACAGTTGCCTCAATGCAATTCACATCTAAGGCTTTAAGCTTTAACCTCAACTTAGATGCGAAAAAATGCTTCCATAAGCTGCACAAATTAAATAAAAAACCACAACCAAACTATTGCTATTCTTTTCTAGCAGGGCTGTCATTGCCAAGCATACACTCAGCTGCCTGCAGCAGCGCACTGCTTCAACCTGCCCTCTTCCCCCGTGGGGCTCTCAGTGTATTCATTAGCCAAATGTTTACACTAAATCAGGTCCTCCATCAACGAGGCTTTAAACCACCATGACAATCTCCCGTGGTTGTCCGTTCCATGGTAAACCTGGAATTACTTGCTCCAGTCACCCCACAGTCAGGATTTGACAGGCTGGTTGGCCAACCGACCGGCTTGTGATTTTACTGCTTGGGTACACAGAAGGACAACTGAAGTCAGGTTTGTGTTTTCTTCAGGAACGTGAAACCCCTGCTGCAGAAAACCGTGCCTGATGGGTTTTATTTGCATACTGTAGGCACAGAAACAGGACATAGTATTGTCTCAGCAGGGGATACGCCTTCGTAACCACTTCTGCATGCCAGCCTTCAAGACATTTCAGTGCAGGATAAGCAGGTATCAGATCATAAAATGCACTTGCTCCCCTTGACATTAACTCCTGTCACTCTCCTTCCACAAACTCTGACCACATGTATGATCTATAAATCATGTTAATGGTCCATAAATCGTTGTACATTGGGAAGAAAGCTAGAGATTCACTCCTGAAGTGATTACAGAATACTCCCATGTTAGCATACAATCAGAATTTCTGCCAGAAGAATAGGGAAGCTGAAGAACAGACTCAAAATTTCGGCCGTAGTTGTTAGGAAGTGCCATACACTTATAAAAATAACTGGCACATAGGAACAGAAATCCAGCAAATCATGTCTCAGACAGTAATTTCACATCTTCACCGCAGAAAGGTGACCCACTGCAAAGCTGTCTTCTAGGTTCACATTCCTGATATGTGAAGACACTCTTTGGGGAGTAAAGCTCAGCTGTCTCGACAGCTCTGCCAGCCCAAATCAGAGGCACCGCACAGGAACCTCACTCAGAGCGCTCCAGCCCCGTGCTGCCACAGGACCAGCAAAGGCCACGGACTTGCCTGTGTCCCGGGGGTAAAGCGGTGCGAGAAGACAAGCGCCTGCTCCGTCAAACGGCATGGCAGACAGTGGAAGCGGCCCTTCGCTTGCCTCTCACCTATTTTGGGTTTCATGTTCCCAATTCAGGTCACGGCTCACCCCCTTCAGCAAGGAACAGCATCCTCCCGAACCCCTCTGGCTAGAGCTGCTGACCACAGAGCATTAGATGGTACACCTATAGAGGTTCTCCTGTGGAAAACTTCAGTCTGTCCCACATAGGAGATAGCATTTTGTGTTAAGTGTGCATGAGAGCGAGGTGACCAATTATGTCATCAACCACTTAACTGACAGCCAGCTGATACTGCTTACAGCTATGGTGGATGATTGTTTCCAGAAAAATGTTATTTCCTGAAAAGTATAATCTAATAAGAACCCAGGAAATGTATACCAGTCTGAGAGAGAGACAGCAAACTGACTTCACGTTGCATGATTTTCTGCAGGTCATGATCTGTGTCATGGTTTGGAATGTCACCTGCAATGCCCGCGGGGTGAATGCGAAGGTACTGATGTGGTTGTAAGCTGTTAACAACCATGGCTTCTTTTGAGTGGTTTGCTAGTTTAGAAACCAGAAGAATGGTACTGACTTCTTCTGCAAAGTTTCTGATATGTGGCTGCTAAAGGTTCTTCAGACATGGTTAGAATGTGTATGGTTAGAGAATTAATATTAACTTAATAAAGCATGGCTAAAGTTACGGTTCATTGAAGATGGAATCCTACGAGAAATCCAAGGCACTGGGCTTGTATCACAGGGAAACGTAAAGATCTCCTGCAAAACGGGAGAGGAGTAACACATGCCCGCTTTACAATGTGCTGGGGACCAAAGTTCCAAACATACAGTTATATAGATATGCCTTACTAGAATATTAAAAGACACAAAGCCTTAGGACATGGGAAGATTTAAATCTTTCTTCCCTGCGGTGTGCTATGTCCTGGTAGCCACTGAAACTTTCAGAGGGCAAGAGGCCAAGAAAATATTCCTTCCTTACTGCTAATGCAGCTTTAATTTTCTTGTGAGAATTATAAAATCTATTTGTTAGGTATGACAATAAATGCAGTAGCACCCAGATGTCGCAGCAGTCATCTAGGTTTTCTTTTTTTTTTTTTTTTTCAAGAATAGCACATACATTTCTTGTCAGTATTTAATTAAAACAATCTTATGACACAGAACAGGATTAAAAAAACCCCAATCTTTCTGTAGACCTGCACCTTCTGTAAAGAAGAATGCACAGTAGTGGCACTCTCACAGGATAGTAGGAAACATTTTTCTATCTTATCTCACACTCCAGGTAGATGCAATGCTTGTAGTCAAAGCGGGGTGTCAAACTGCCCTTAATCATAAAGCTCGAGGCTACAGGATAAACTTGCTATATGGGACTGTGGATACCTTACGGTGTCTGTAGGTACCCAACTGCAGTTTAACCGGAATGAAGAAGCCTGTAGACGATGCAGGAGAATTTTTGGAGGCCGCCTTCACTGAAAACTTCCAGAGACATTCTCATGCGCTAATACTACAAGGTGACTTGTCATCTTTCCTCTTGATCACAGAGCTACGCTAAGGAAGAGAACTCTTATAAATGTCAATACTCAGTGTCACAAAAAGAGGACAGCTCAGTTACAGCAGGTCAGGGACGTTCTCCGACAAATATTCCACGTGAAGTTACTGGCTGTATTTCCCTGCCTGGAAGATATAATTATGGCAGCCATATATGTCATCACTTAAAAAAATGGACAGTTTGGAATAAAAAGGAAGAATAAGAGTATTTTAAGTATTTGAGCTGGCCAACGCTGAAAAGGATGCATTTGCCTCTGAGCTGATGATCAGGATTTTTGAGTAAAGAACAGTTAGTCCATAAAGCAGCAGGCACAGTCACCAAGAAAAATCAAAATAAAGTCACATACAGTATCGTCAAGTAGAAATATATGGACTACCTTCTACATCAGAAAATTTTTGTGGAATGGGAAGAAGAATGCATTTCCAAGCATGATGTTTCTATACTATACACTTACACTAGCAAAACAGTACTTTGCAGCAGTAAAGGATATTCTGTCCTCCTTCTCGCCCAGACTAAGCACGTTATATGGGTAGAAAGAACACTTTTGCTGGTGCAACCACGCAGATGAAAGGAACTTCAGACGGCAAAACAACAAAGTTCAGTGATCATAGTTCTCCAGACTCCTTACCAGCATAACAGTGTGGCACAGTCATAAAAGTAGTAAGAAAATTTGAATAGTGACAGAGTTACCCGAGATGAAAATACCCATTTTGTGTGAGTAGATACACACAAACAAAAACTTCATATCCTGCATACTTTTTTTAAAAAAACCTAACTAAATCATTTTATACAAAGGATGAAGAAATTGAACCATTTTGAACTTTCAGTTAGCCTATGTATTAGCAGTTTTCTACTTTTGCTTCTTTTGCTTCAAATATAAACAGAACTGAAATGACTACATGATACATAATTAAAGTGTATGTCAGAAACCTGACAAAGAAAAAGAACAGAAATTGATCAAAACAGGTCTTAATTTAACTTAATAACTTGATACTGTGTTTGACTTCAGCTAGGCTACAAAATGCTTTTAGACAGGAATATATATATATATCTATATATAAAATCTCTGCATTTGAAAGATTATTTTTCAGTAACCCACATTTTTTTTTCCAATATACTGAGTTAATTCAATGTTTGTGAAAGTGAACTACTTTTTCTAATACATTAAACAAAGAGAAAAAATAAAATTATTTGGTGAGACTCTGATGGCAACTTGGATGCAAGAACTTCAAGTAATTCCATAGACCTTGACTGAGGTGCTTTAAATTTACATGTGTGTAACTCAGATCAAAATTTGGTCAAGCTCATTCTAAATGAATTAATTAGCACTTATTTCAAAATATGATTAAAAGACTATTTGTGCTAGGAATTGAAACACCTTTTAGTCCTTGGGTTTTAGACTGTGCAATATATTTGTAAAGAATTGATGCATATTTGCTGCTGCTTTCTGATCACTGAACAGTTATATAAATTTTTATCCTTAGAAACAAGGTGCCTTGTCATACTGACTGAGGACCTGCTGACAGAAATGATTTATCCACTGCTGTAGTTCAGGATATGCCAAACAGACCATGCCATTATTCTGTTTACTGTGCAGCAAACTGCTTTTTGAGTGACTGACTTGACAGAATTATCAAGGAAAGGCAAGCCTAAAATTTTACAAGCAAATAAACAGGTTTTAAGTTTTTTAACTGAGGAGAGACTTTTGAAGTGAGCTTTAGTCATGCATGAACTTTTCAAAAAATGTTTAACAGACAGCTATTTCTAAATGAAAGCAAGCATAGTATAGTATCAGCATACCTTTCCAGTCAAATATTATCAGTAAAGAACTGGCAGTACCCTGAAGGTGCTCTGCCAGGTAGCTGAATCTAGTACACACAGGGGAGATTAAACCATGATTATAGCACTCACTAACAGTTTTATTGGCTTGAGTTTTATCTCCTTTTTCCTCTGTTTTAAAAACAATTTTGCTCAGCAAGGATGTCCACAGACATTATCTAAGATAGAAGAATTCTCAGGTTGCAATAATAGATTTTTGTTTGTGTCCTCTGTCATATGATGAAAATGGTGTATTATTTTGAACTGAATTAATTTCAGTTTACGTTGTGAAGATAATGAAATAAAACCCCAAGTATTTGAGTAGATGAGATCGATGTTCAATTTACCATTCAAATGAATTAAGAGGAACTGTGTTTATTTTGTGCTGAAGTCTCAATCATTTTTCTGAAAAAAATGCACAAGTGGCTTAAAATAGATAAGGTAAAACTCAATACCCAAAGAACTAAGACTTAAGTCCTTGTTCTTTTTGAGTTGCTGAAATTTTCCCCACTAAATTCAATACAACCAAAATTTCACTTCAACGTGCAGGTTAAATTCATAGCAGTAGAGAGAAACAGAAAAATTAATTCCTTGTAATCCCCATCTCCTTTTTCAAGACTGGCAGAGGAAAAATCAGTGACTGCTTTAAATCTTTCTCCAAGTTCTCATTCCCTCCAGGGCCAGAAATTGAAGCATCCCCAGAGAAAGCATCACATACTTTGGAAGTATGTTAGGAATCAGATTTGGAGATATTGCACCTTTGCAGGTGCCGTACAGCCAAAAGCAGAAACTTGGAATTCCCAAATTGTGTTTGGATGTCGTTGCACATACTGTATTTCTTTTTACAAAGAGGGAATCTTGTTTCTAAAAATCGTCAAACCTTTGTTTCAGAAAAAGGGGTTTTTGCATGAATTGAAGATTTAGCATATGCAGCCACTCAGAAACAATGCTATTCTGCACTTATTTTCTCAGCTATTAAACTTAACCTTTTAGATTAACACATAATTTATTATCACTGTATTATTACTAGCTTCAAGAAGTGGCACACTTAAGGAATGGTTCCTTGAACTTTGCAAGATATCCTTACCTGTTCATATCATCTAGATGTTCAGCAGCAAAATAAAAACTTTTGATCTTAGGATGGCAGGCTTTGAATGCACTGTAGAGGAAAACCACAATTGTAAAAATGCAATGTCACGACTCTCTTTTTAACAAAATGTAAGATAGTCTAGTCACCAAGCAATGAGATGAGTTCAGATTTCCTGAGTTGTTGGATGCCCCTGAGCAGTCTATAAACATACAACTTTTAGGATTGTGCCAGATTTCACCAATTAAAGTACTCTTCAACTACCCCTTTCTAAATAATGCTTAATTCATATGTGCATAACTACTGTTCAACAATCACCTGCGACGTACTATATTTGGATAAAGTTAACCAGTTAAGGATATAATTTTATGTATCAAGTAATTTTGCTGATATACCTATAGGTGTCAATTTTTTCTGAACAGAAAATTGACTGAACGATTTATTCGATACAACAGAAAAACTCTCAATCCTGATTTCTCACATCCCAACGACCTTTAGCTCTAATGGCTGCGTTTCAAACAGAAAAATGTGATGTGCTGATTGACTTCTGAAAAGCTGTTATAAATCAGCACTGTGTTCTTGAGGGCATTTGAAGCAATGGGCAATTACATCTCATCTTTTCTTTCCACCAAAGTAATCAACATGACTGGGCTGAGAGAATTACTGCATTTCATACATAATATGAAATAAATTACCAGAAAGAATTTTTTAACTATGTTGGATAAAGATTTATGGTGAAGTACTTGAAGATCCAGAAAATGCTTCTGAAAGTAATTAATAATTTACAGTACAGAAGAATCATTTCTGAGGATAGCCTGAAGGTCTCTCTTAAAATAAGAACAAAAAATGCATAACACTCCCAAAGAAAATAAGGAAAACTGCAAATGTGATACATGAAGACCATCATCATTTTTCTGAGACAGAATGCATTTTATATATATAAAAAAAATAATAAAATAATTTTCACTCTCTAACCCATTGTGTCTCAGAAAAATGGTAAAGATGTTCTCATGTATATCATGCCTGCAATTTTCAACATATATGTCTGTGTGTGTACATATATGTAAATATATGAAAATAGGTTTTAAGAAAACAAGGATATGGAATTGATATCCAGGAAAGTTACTGCTAGTGAAGGTAATGTAAAATTGAGACAAAAAGAATTCCTCTAATGCATTAGAGCATGACACAATGTTATGCAAGTGAAAGCAGATGTACAGTGACATCTGCTCAGTTTAGAAAGACATCATCAAGTTACTGAGACCCAAAACTTGACTTCTTAAAATTCTTACAGCATCTGTCGTCTGGATTCTTAGAGGTTTTTTTCTTTATCTGCCACCCAAGCAAGGAACTTCAATAGCCACAGTAGATACCAAATCAGGTAAAAAAAATAATTTAAGCAGGGTGCAATTCTGAGAAATGAGAAATGCTGCTGCCCCAACAAAAAAAGAAAAAATGAAGCACTTCAGGAATGTAGCCCAAGGACACAGGACAATAAGCCCAAGCTGACGTATTTTTTTTTTAAATGCAGTTTTCATTTTCTGCCCTTTGAGACCATCATGAAGAGTAGAGTTCATCCTGAAGAGATATGTAGACCAACTGATACAAGGTCAGTGTCTTCTTTAGAACTGTATGTACTACAAATCATGCCATTTTACTTTTGCAATTGCTTTTCTGTACAAATTTCAGTGATTCCACAGTCTTGATAAACTTAAAACAACAGTAAAAACCATTAGAAGGCAAGGCAAAAAGTTTTCAACAATAATGACTCTAAAAATACCTCTGTGGGAGTATGCACCTGTCACATTGCTATACATGCTGGAATTTGCATCTAAATAAGAAATGGATTTATGCAATGGCACAAATCTAGACTGCAGCACACACAGCTAGGTGAGAAGAAAAGTTATTTGAAAACCTTTAGGTCATACCTCAAAAATACAGCAAATCACTGTCATTCTCTTTTTTTACTCTGCCTCAGGACAGATACACTGCGTCAGCAAACTTTGAGATGATGTTAACCAATTTGGAGTCACATTAAAGACTGATGCCTGGCCATGAACTCGGGGACTTTTTTATTTGGATGGTCTCTTTATTCTGCTTAAAGCCCTTTATTGAGCTTAAAGATATCACACACACACTCCAAGCCCCAACAAACAAACAAAATAACCCCCCAAACCAGAAAGGAAACAAAAGAAGAAAGGAAAACTAGGAAAATAAAGGGACAGAAGCGGACAAGCAGCCTTCTTGCTCTTAATTCATTTTGCTCTAGTCAGGCATTGTGATTCATGATAAAGTAAAAAAAAAACAAACAAACCTTTTTCAGGAAAGGTGGCACACAGAAACCACACTGAATTTGCCTGTTCTGTATGAGCTTATTCTCTGATACAACCAAATGATTATTGTAACAAAGTCCATTATGTCACTGTTTTAAGGGAAGACCTCATCCTTTGTTCCACTTTTTCTATCGTATCACTGCATTATTTTTGAGCATACTTACTATTTCTTGCGGCATTCACTGGCTCTGTCAATTTTAAATTCAGGTAGACTGATGAATCCTTCCGCTTTTTCATCCTGCAGAGATAGTTCTAGATATTACTGTTGTTAAGGCGTCAGGAAAAAACCCCACCACACTCAAAACTTCAAGATATTTTCACTTGCCTGCTTCTTACATAAGGAATACTAATGTATGCTCTGCTCTGGCAAACCTCCCACAGAAGTCACTGGGACTTTTGCCAAAGTAGTAAGACGGATCCCTTGGTGTAAAATACCATTTTAAATACCCAGTTTTCTCAAACAATTTCACAGCTGAACCAGCACTGGAAAATATACAAAATGACCAAATGTATTCAGGCAATTATTTATTGTAATTAGTTAATTTTGGGGGAAGATGGACTAACCAGTAAGGAGAAATGCAGCCTGCTGTAAGAAATAGGGAAAAAAGCAATTTCAGTGTGTGCTGTTTACCATCTTTATATGGTATCACAGCTAAGAGGCATGATATCTCTTCAGCTACCTTCATCTCTCTCCAACACTCAAGAGAGAAGACATCTGACCTTCCTCCCCTCTCCTCTAAAGACCTGCACATAGTTTATTTTATCAGATATTCGATCTCCCTTGACTTTTCACAATTTGAAGGCATTATTTAAGCCACTAATACATCAGTAACAACTGCTCATAACTTTGCATGAGAAATTAATACAGGATCGTGAAAGTGAAGCTGCCGAAAACACAAATGTATGTTAAGGAATTCCACAGAACTACATCTTTTTCTCAGAATCTCCATGGTTATTTATGCTACATATGCAGTCCATATGACCATATGCTTTCTTTAAATAAATAAAAGACACAAATCAGCATATAAAACTGGAACTAGAGTTGTTCTGTGGAAGGTACAAGGTTGTAACAGGTTCTGCATTAACAGGCATTTTAAAATCGAAAGGATGCTGTTTAGAATAAACTTGCTATTTCTTTTTTGCATGGTTGCCTAAGGAAACAACATTTTGGCAAGAGCACTGTTTGCTTGTTTGTCCATCTGCCCACTGAGGCTCCCCCCACCAGCTTTTGAATCTAGTGGTGATTGCAGACACTTTGGTGAAGGAGCTGAGGTCTCAAAAATAACCGAGTCTCAGCAAATCTCAGGGAAACTTGGGACAGGGGAGACAGAGGCGCCCAGACCACTGCCCTCTCCACAGGGAAGGAAGGCACAGCTCGGCGGATCCGCACGCTCCTTGGCCAGGGCTGGTGACCGGTCATCGTACCTGGAGATAAGAATTACCACCCCAATGAAGACCCGTAGTAGACCTCGAGGAAGGAGGAGGGAGGGGAGGGAGTTAGGGTTACTGGTCTGAAGCTGGGATCAAGGCGCAAATGGGATGAGTTTGTGGGAAAACAAGCTTTGGTGACTCTGTTCATGGAGCAACTTGCTTTCTGTCTACTCAGGGAAGAGCTGGGGATCACGGTATTTTAAAGTGGTTATGTACAAACGCTTGCAGTGATTAAAAGAACAAGTCCAGGACTGAGTGCATCCACATGTTGGCAATGATTTTCTCTCAGGATATTTACTGAGACTAATAGGGTTTAAAATTAAGGTTTCCTAACTCACTGGCAAAAAGCTCTTTTGCTAAAGCTGATACAAATAAACGAGTACTAATGCAGAACATGTTGCACAATCCAAGCTGTACACAATTCACTTGGGCTGCTCTGGTGCTCTTTAAGTTCAGCATAAATGAGCACTGAAATCATATCAAAAGCTACAAAGAAGGAACGACAGGAGAACACAACTGAGAAAACAAAAGCATCTTCCTTAACTGCCAGAGGTTTTGGTGATTTCAGTAGCACAGATAAACAAGGAACACCAGGCAGCGCATCATTAAAGTTTAAACTCCCATGACTAAGCTTGAATGACAGGATTAAATAACTACCTTCTGCCTTTCAAGGGTTTGAGGATAGATTGATTCTAAACTGGTGACAGCAGGACACAGGAAAGTGTGTTACTTCTCCTTGTAGCAAAAGGTGAATTTGAAGGACCAAATATCTCCGGACCTTAATGGTGATTTATTCAGGCAGTTAATATTAATTTCAGTATGATTATTTGGGTGAATAAAGTTATTCACATGTTTAAGCACTCAAAGCACTGGCTTCCCATTAAATCGTGACAACAGCACTACACAGGGTATTTGTTGAGACAATGAACACAGATGCTTACCTCTTCATTTATATACCAATATAGAGATGTATCCTTCAGGACAAACCAGTATTTTTTCCATTTCTGGGAGAAATAACTCTTGGCATCTTTCTTTTTCCAAAGCCAGCCTTCACAGTCCCCTCGACCAAGATCTTTACATGAGATCCGTCTTTTGCTTTTACCAGGAATAGGAGCTGAAAATGACAAGTTGATGTGAAAGCATTTGAATTGTCCACTAAATCAACAAGACAGCTTGCCAGAAAGCACTATATATTTGCTTAAGAGAATTAATTAAAAACTTCAACCTCAATTTGCCATGAAGATATTATTACAAACATTCTATTTCAACCACAAAGTCTGTGCAAGGCAACATAAGTTAAAAACCAAAAGAAACCAAAACAAACCATGTTCAGCACCTCACAGAGCTCCTATTCTATGGGTAAGACAAAAAAAAAAAAAGCAACACAGAAAGAGAAGACATTATGGAGAAAAGAAAGGCAAGATGGTTATTTGTAATTTTCAACAAATTAATATTTCACATCAGATTAAAGCACACAGCATATAAATTCATGTACTTTCACACCTGGCTGCCAAATACAACTAGGTAAGTACTTCACAGGTATTCAAAACCCTCTCTTTGCAGCTCCTAAAGCCTTTGTACTTCTAAATCAAAGGAGGACAATTTACTCTGATATAAATTACCTGACAGCTTAGGTAATGAGCAAGGGCTGCAGTAAGGCATTACATGCACACAGCTGGAAAAACCAGCCTTGGCCCCGAAGAGCCTAGAGTCTAAGTATTCAAAAATAAACAGCAGCACATATATGCAGGTAGAGGAGCATTAGGAAACTATGAGACATCAGTACTGGACTAACACCTTCTCAACCTGATCAACTGAATTCAACATTGTATCGGAGCTAACAAGTTCTAGTTCCTCAGATACTGCAATATCATAAACATTAATGTTCGCAATTCCCTTCCTACCAATACATGAAAACAAATTTAATTTTTACCTTTGTTCTTCTTTTTACTTTTCTGCTGTAGAGAAGACTGCTGAAATGTCTACAAGAAAATCAAAACGGAAGAAGTGAAAATACAGTGTTTATGTTCAACCACAGCCTTATCATAAAAGAAGTGTAATGTTGCGAACACTGAAGTCATCACCAGGTAACACCAGCCAACAGACTTGGAGGCGTAAGAAAAAAGGTAATTTTAGTTCATCTGTTCATAAGGTTGTAAAGCAAAAGCGCACAGGGAAACATCTTAAAATAGACCACAAATTAATTTGCCAAAACAACTGAAATTTCTCTCCAAAATGGTCGCTCTTCTCTTATTCTGTTAAGGAAGGAAAGTCTCCCTTTGGTTAGTAAGATAGTGAAGCTACACAGCCCCTGCATTTCTAATACATCATCTAATTAAGGTCTTCTTGACATAAATATGTAAATATGCAGATTAACACATTGCCTAATGCAGGTCTGAAGGCATTTATACAATGGTCTTTAGAACATCAGACAATTTGCTCAGAAATGGGCCCAGTATTTTTGAAGACACTAATAAAATTCTGCGAAATCACAACTGGGAAAAAGTCTCCCAAATAAATACTCTGAAACAGAAAACACTATTTTTTTATCAGGTTTTGACTGGAAGTATTTCCCTCCAGTTGATCCACTCCCATGAACCAACCCATTGCCTTGGCAATGAGACAGGATGGAAATTATTCCTTTACTTAAGATCCCAGCTTATTAAACTGGCAATACGTATTACCACATTCTGTGGTCACTTCTGTTAAAAAACTTTGACTCAGATAATCACCATCGCTCTAGTGAAATAAAAGAATAATTCTGTAATTAATCACTCCAAAATCTAAAGTTGTTGTTGAATTTTAGCTTTCTATAAAGACAAATGTATTAGTGCTGAAACTAAGAAAAGGCAACATTTGAGGGTCTAAGCATTAAAACCTCTTCCTTCAGCTTACCATGAATCAATAAAAAAATCAAAGCTTTTGTGCCACTTGATAAAAATAAACATAAGCAAAAGCACTGACAGCCCTGTAAGCTCAAATCCTGTTCCTAGCAGATAAGACAAACCCTCACCCCAGCTTGCAAAGCTCCCTTTCCAATTCAGAGCTGCTTTTCTTTTCATTTTCTCCTCCCCGCTTTCTGAACACCTGAGCTGCCGTGCAGGAGGCTGAGGCTCAGCTTCCAAGGGATGTCTTGCCTCACAGCTGAGACGTTCTCAAGCAGCAAATACTGACACATCCACAGGGATAACTTACCACCAATACAACCACAATCAAGCGTAATATAAAAAATTAACTGACTCGGTAGATGTGCTGCTCCCTTGCAGACCGTATCTGAAGAAGGCTACTCAACCATACTGCCACCCCAGATGGTCAAAACAGGCCTCCGCTGGGAAGAAAAAAATGGCCCATTTGTCTTCATTCCCTGGCTCTTGTCCTTTTCCTTCTGCTCCAGCAGCCGCAGCAGCTCCCGGCTGCTCTTCAGTCAGTACCAGCTCTCAGCAAGCCGAGACAGCCACACCATCCCAACTCACGTCACGTCAAATACTCCAGCCTGCACAGGACTAAGAGAGATCTTTGTGGTCCAGAAAATAAGAGAGTGGCTGGGCAGAAGTGTGTAAGTAACTCCCTCTTAGATGCTTTGAAAATCTCACCTAATTCAAAGCGGTTGAAAAAAACACACATGCACAAACCCGAAACTTCAGCACTTCTCAGTTCACAGCCCGGACAATTTCATTCGGCCGCTTGACTTTTCTGCACTAATATTTTCACAGTGCCAAAATGGAAAAGGAAAACCTCCGCTTGGTTTTCTTATAAGTTATTCTGAAAGCAGATGAGAACAATATGAAAAGTCTTCTCTTTAAATGTGTCGTCTGTAAACTGAACCTGCAAATGTGAGCTCGCACCTCTCAACTTCGAGTCAGTTTTTGGGACGAAAGGGTAATGAAGGCGTATCAGTTTTTAATAGGAAGACAGCTTGTAATTTAGACGTCTAGCCCTTTTACCATACTTTATGTCATATTTCAAAATAGAAAGGTTTTATTAAATTCAGTTATTATTCTAAATTAGCTCATTAAATTAAATTATAATTAAGGACAAAATCTACAACTGAGTGAAGTTCCTGGGAACTATTCAACTGATTTTTACCTAACACTTTATATTATTTTACATAGACTTCAGGCTTCAAGTTGGTTCGTCCTTTGCAAAAACAGCACCAGCTTTTTTTTTTTTTTACCCTTAAGATGTATAAGCAATATGCATTAGTCAGTGCCATTCAGTTTCAAACTCACACGATATATAATCCAAAAAAACCCTAAGTGAGAATAAAATCTGAAAATGCTTCTTCTGCTGCTTTTTTAGGAAATCCCCGAATGCAATCTGCAGCTTCTTCCCAGTTATTAGATAATGCTTAATGCCATTTTCTCAGTGCTGCTTAGAATCACAGAACGATGAAGGAGGTCACGTCTTCCCTCCTGCTCAGAGCAAGGCTTGCTTTGAAGCCAACGCCGGATCATGTTCTTCAGGGTCATCTCCAGCCGAGATCCAACTACCCCCGAAGAGGGAAGACTCCACAGCCTCTGTAAGTGACCTGTCCTAACGTTGGGCACCATGTTTCCCCTTTTACAGCTTAATTCTGTGGTGTGGCAAATATGGAAATAATATAAATACTTCTTTTTAACACCATGAACTCTAAAAATATGGTTTCACACCAAAGCCCGAAATTTAGTTGTACTGAAGCAAGTTTGCTGCAAGATACAGTTTAATCACCTGCCCACCAGGCTGGATTTCAACATATGTTCACTGTGTTTTGATTCTGATACATCTTGAGCTTTGAGCAACTGCTTTCACATACATCTTGTCCCAGTTTCCAGGAATTCATCTCTCCTACTAATTCTGAGAGCAAGCATGAAATGAAATAGAAAACAGCATTCTATGTTAAAGAAAGTTGTTAGTAACTTAAAATAATAAATAAAATGGAAACAAGACTGCCACTGAAAAGATGAAGTAGACGAATACCTTAACCCAAATGGAAACTGTCACTCCTGCAGAAAATTTGAAACTGTTTAATCATATCCTGAATAACATGCTTTCCAGTCACCCAAAATACAATTAGCAAAACTTTCCATTATGCAAAAGCAAGGTGTTACTTGATGTTTAACATATATCAAGAACCCCTTGAATACACTGAGCCTCAGTTTTTTGAATGCAATACTTTTCTCCTGTAATATTTGATGTCTGAGCTTGTCATATTTAGTAATATACCTAAACTAAGCCCTCTCACAAATGCATGTCTAAATAGAATATCAAAGAAACACTTTAGGTATATATATCTGTCTGCCATTGCTGACAACAGCCTCCAAAGCACATGTATTTCAAGAGGAACAAACATCATTTATCAAAAGGGGCTTTTGCTGTTTCTGTTTTTTTTTTTTAACAAAGGTGCTAGCCTACCTCTAGCCCCAACTTTCCGAGGGCTTAGCTGCACAGCCCATCAGCCAATGGAGATTTCACTGTGCATGGAAGAGCCAGATCAGTTCCTCTCTTCCTGCAAGTGTTCATTACCAAACTTCCGATGTGGGTTATATTTACTTTAACACTCTTCAAAATGATTGACAGAGTTCTGAAAGCCCATCAGAAGACTGCACAGCTGTAAATAGCAATCTGCCCTAGGGTATGCCTTGCCATGCTTTCAGAATTCTAGCACAGTAATACAGCTACATAATAAAAATCTTCCAGGTGAAGGATCACGCTAACAAAAGAGGTCACCAACAACCTGTAACTGTATTTGTTCTTTCAGCAAGAAAATAATCACATATAGATGGTATATGTGCAACAACATCTGCATGCACACAGTCACACATCAGCATCTTTGTATGTACAACACAAAATTTTCAAGAAATGAGACTATCGGGTTTTTCTCTCATCCTCAGAGTTCTCCAGCTTTCTGCCTGCTTTCAGCTCTTGGGATAAAGTATTTGTTCTTGGTTAGTACCATGCCTTCTGTATATTTGCTCAGAAGGGAAGCAAGTTTGAAAGTTAGTCATTAACATTCAGAAGCCTGAAAATGTATTCATCGTGCACTACTTAGTAGTAATTTGATAGCTCTCTATTTGGAAAAACGTATTTAAATAAAAGTGTTAAATAATTTAAGTTTCAATTAATTTATTTGTTTCATGCCAGATAGGAAACTTAATAAACTGATCTCCTAATACCAATATTAAACTGGAGTGAAACTGCTATCAGGAGAGATGAATATTTGATAAAACTCACGGTATGATGAAAGTTAGAAAATTTCTGTTCCAGCTGATACCTCAAATAAAAGTAGAAGACAAGAAGACAGGGTAGGTTATCAAAACTATTGATTTGGGAGGACTGGTTATTTTGCCAAGCTTCAAGAGTCTGAGCAGGAAGTCTAACGATTTGGGGTCAAACTATTCCTATATAGGAGCTTCTCTAAGGTCTAATGTAAATTCCATGTGTAACCAACAGAACAGGGCATCCATGTCCAAAAAATAGATATATTCTAATAATTACATGAATCCCTTCATGGCTACAGAATTTGTAGGTCTACCAAAAAAAGACCATAATTGAAGCCTCTCTGAAGATCTGGATTGGCCATAGCAATTAGTATGAAATTTGACAGCTCCTAAAATCCTCTTTCAAGTGCTTATTTGTTTCCTCACTTTTCTTCAGAGATTTTCCACTCATTTTTGGAAAGCTAGAAGAGAAAAACCAGGCTATGGAAATAATAATCTCCAATTCTTTTACCTGAATTTGAGCTCAGTCTGATTGGGAAGGTAAATGGCAGGTATCTTTATAGTTTTTTTTGAGAGCTCAAGTCAAATCCAATTTTTCTCAAGCTGCAAGTTTAGACACTAAGGAACTATTTACAGTCAGACAGTTCCCCTCTGTCACTGTAAGATAACTTCCTCTAGTTTCAGCAGAGTAGCTTGTAACATTTCTGATTACTGGAACTTTCTGCAGCAGATGGAAAAGCCAATATCTGGAAAAAAAATGAAAGCTGGTGCTGCCAATTATTTGA